TACAACAAATATCATCTTAGCAAGACCATTCTGAGCTTTCATCTTCCACCATCATGACCTGCTGACCTCTCATCACACAACTCCATGGCATCTGAAATACTACTGATTTTCTGGTATACGAGAACAGTAAAATAAGGCAACTAAGGTATATTCTTGCCTGTTGCAAAAGAAACCTCCCAGCTGCTTTCTCAAATTACTGTAAACCACCACCATACGACTGACAGAAAAAAGGCAAGAATCTACTGCATACTCTAGTTAATAGCTGTCATGGTTCTGAGTTAAGGCTGGAACTGTTCCCATTTTTATGTCACTGCACATGACTGAGATAAGCCTTAGGGGCGTGTACAGAATCAGACACACTGCAGCTCAAAGATTTTACGTCTACATACAATATATGAGCAACTACTTCAAAAGTGGCATTATGATTTACTTGAAATTTTAAAAGCTACTTTCAAATTACATCGCCAACTATTCTTTATATAAAGAATAGACCCCTCAGAACATTTTCAATTAAAGTTTCGCTCCAGTGTCCTCGGCAAAGAAATACTACTGCTGTCTCTGTTTTGCTGAAGATAAACTATAGCCGGTGCTGCTGAGCTCCTACAGTGCAGAGCTAGAGTTTCATGACACACTGCGCTTTAGTTCCCCTTGGTGTGACACTCAGGAAATGCATCCATACTCACATGGATTAGCTCCATCAGCCACTATTAACATTCGTAAAGAGCTCAGACTGACATCTCTCTGATCCCTCTGAGCCAAAAGTGACCAGTGCATATCACGGGATTTTACCACTGCTACACGGGCTGAAAAGAAAAAAATAATGGTGTGTGTGCAGAACAAAATAAAGACAAATTTTTAAATTATATAAATATTTGTGTATTTACATAAATTTATGAAACGAATTACAAACACAAAGCAAATACAAATGCCAAAAATTTAAATACTATGATACATGCGTACTCAATGTCTCCAGATGGACCAGATCATAAAATTTAAACACTGAGATGACAAACACCGTTTCTTTAAAGAGCTATCAGAAGAAGCCACCAGTGTCACTCACCAACTAATCTACCAGTACACTTAATACTGAAATGGTATTGAAATACCAATTGGATACCGAAATACCCAACTGCTAATGCTGTGGCAAAGAAAGTCAGCTGGATAAAACAGCAGTGGCCTCAGCTAGAGCAGACATTTTATACAAATAAATTTATTTATTTATTTTAAATCATGCCAAAAGAGATGGGTTAAGTAAAAATACTTTCAGGTTACCTTTGTATGAGCAGACTTTCTGTATCCAGGAAAGTGGATTAACCTTCATTAATGCATAGGGAATACTGATGACGTGCATCCTGTTCATAACACTCTATGAGAAAAATATTAAAAACTAAGCTTTCAAGTGGCTCAAAGAATACACAGCATGCACCAATGCTTAAAAAACCCATCACAGCTACAGGGCAACTCTTATATTTAACTGTTAGTGAAAACTATGTGTATAATCAGTAAAAACATAAGCTATGCCTGCACAGTCTGTTACTAAAAAAGACTTTACTCTGTAAAACATAAACACTGAAATACAAGTAGTTTGAGAGAGTTTATGAACTCATCCTGATACTAACACTCTGCCCCTGACAGAAGCAATTTGGAAGTTTTTTTCATTCATTGAAATACTCACTGTTAATACTCCATGCCAAAGGCCAGCATCTCTTTTGAAATCCAAGACATTTGTTAGTGTTTCAGCTGGAAGTGAAAGAAAAACTATCAGACTTAACGATGAGAATATTTAAGAACTCAAAGTACCTGTTGTTAAAGGCACTATGAAAATTCCAACATCACTAAGAAATCAAAGTTACGTTGTCATGCCTTCTTCTCTATAACAAACAGGCTCCTTAAGTTGAAAGTGTCTTATTTTACTTACAACAATCATCCTTAAACTATGATTACAGACTAGATTATTACATGGTATTTAAGACTCTGTTCTCGTTATAATATCACTTCTATGTGTTTGTTGGATTTGCCAATGAGCTATGCAGACTGAAACTTTAGTTTTGATGCAAACTCCTTCATGTGAACTGAAAAAATTCAGCTGTATTTGAAAGAATTAAATTCAGTGAGAAATATTACCATGGCTGTACCAAATTTTCTTCAGTGTTTTCTCTGAGACATCTGAACATCTTTAGTGATTTAAAAAAAACAGACTCAAAGATTCTAACAAAGATTTAACCCGATTTTAGAGGGAGCATCTGGAAAAACTTTATGCGAGGGTGCCTGCCCACTGGCACAAAGCTTCCCAGAGTGGTTGTGGAGTTTCCATCCTTGGAGATATTTGAAAAGGCATCTGGACATGGTCCTGGGTAACGGGCTCTAGGTGGCCCTGGCTTGAGCTGAGGGGCTGGACCAGATGACCTCCAGAGGTTTCTTCCCGCCTCCAGCATTCTGTGATTCTGCATGTCCCAAGATACATTAGCACACACTACCCCACTATGGGATAAAAACTAACTAAATGATGAGATTCTTCCAGCAAACATAGATTTCAAAGGGGAAAGTTTTTGGTTAATGGTAGCCCAGATGAACCCTATGCATGTGGTCCAAACCAGGTGCAGTTCTTGGCTACTCATTGAGAGAATGACTGAAAACTAGTACATCTCTCACTTTATTCAAATCCCCGTGGAAATGTTCTTTTTTAACTAAGAGGAAGATCCCCTCCTTTCTGAAAATAGGACTACTGTGGCAAGAATTGTGAAGCAGCAAGAAGCTATAAATAAAAGAGAAGGCAAAGCTTTATACTGGGTCTGGTCTATACAGAAAACAAACCTCGTGACAGCATCTCCAGCATGTGGCACAGAAATTTTAAAAATGAACATACAAGAGGATATCAGAATTCAGTACCCTCTGTGAGGATCTGAAATGTGAATGGCTACTAACACTACTCCACTTCTGTCTGAAAATTAAGACTTCTTTGATCCATAACCAGTTGTCACCATCCTTTCATCACCACTGTACAATCCTTTACCTACAAGCTGGGTGCACCCTCCCCTCTCCCAGAACAGTTCTTGTAGTTGGCAGCTGCGATGGGATGTCCCGAAATGAAAATGGGAAAGGGTCCTCTTTGATGATAACTAAAAAGAGTACAGACGTCTGATTGTGAAAACCTGTTTTACTCTCTCATACTACTTGTGTGGACTTTTGAGCACTACAGGCATAAACCAATTGCCCAAAGGAGGAAGGAAAAAAAAAAACAAGTGCAAGAGAGGACAGTTAGCAACTGTTAGCAATCTGCTCATACCCTCAAACACTCTATCTAGAAGCACAGACCTAGTTCAAGTAATAGGGCCAGACAACTTGCATTAGGACTTTTAACTTGATGATGTATGCAGGCAGGGTCATCAAAGGTGCCAGAGCAGTAAAGCCAAGCAAGTCAGGTTTTTTTTTAATATGGTATCTCTGAAACTTTCTTGATAAAGACTCTCTTTCAGGGGCCAAGTATCACAATCCTAAGAATCACAAAGTAGAAGAGTTATAAGGACTATGATGCATATTACATCTCACCTAGTGTTGTTGTTTGTCTGGTAGCAGGGAGGGGCCACAGCAATGGCTCCTGTAAGTAGCTGCTAAAGGTTTCCCCTGGACTCCAGCTCTGCTGGCAGCAAGGGAGGGGCTGCAGTGGTGGCTCCTGTAAGTGACTGCTAAGGGCTCACCCCCACCCCCAGCTCCAAGGTTTTAGTGTGTTTTTTTCCTGTGAGAAAACAGCACCTCTGTGAAGAACATATTTAAGAGGGGGCACGGAACAATGGGATGGGCACAGCCCAGCTCGGGTGGACTGGCTCGGCCATCCAGCTGCCTGCCCGGCTTCTGCCAACCGACCTGCTGTAGCCCAAGCCTCTGCCATTGCTTGCCCGAGAGTCAGTTTCCTCAGGAGCTGATGAAAACCCGAGGCAGAGAGTGAAGCAGGATCTAAGAGAGATGGATGTGCAGACACGCCAGTCAGAGAAGAGACGCAAGAGGAAGGAGGCACCCTGGAATGTCCCCTGCAGTGTGGTGAAGACTTGTAATGATGCACGGTTTGTCCCTTGGTGCAGGCCATGAGAAGATGTAGCTGTGGAGGAATCCACGTTGGATTTTTTGGAGAAGCCCATGCCGGAGCCAAGCCAAGCAGTCATCGGGGGACTGTGGCCCTGTACGGGAAGGACTGATGTTGGAGCAATTTGAGAAGAGCTCTCCCATGAGCAGGGACCCCACGCTGGAGCCGGGACAGAATGTGAGGAGCCGTCCCCTGAGGAGGAAGGAGTGGTGGACTGACAACACCCCCTATTCCTTGCCCCTGGCACCACTGGGGGGAGAAGGTACAGAACAAAGCCTTGGGCTGTGGGAAGAAGGGAGTGGTGAGGAAGAAGTGCCTTTCTAAGATGTAGTTCTCTCTCAGTATCTTGCTTCTTGTTGTAAACAGTTAATAAATTCAACTGTGTTTTTTTTGGTTCTTCCCAAGTCCTGTCGGTCTCTTGCCTGTGACCGTAAGTGGTGAGTGAAACCCTCCCTGTCCCTGTCTCAGCCCACAAGGTTTTCAAACAAAAGACTGTCCAGTGGCCTTTACACTATGACACCTAGTCATTACCGGGTTTCAAGTCAAGACTAGAAAAGGCCTTCCCTTTGGTCAATAACCACAAATCTTTCTCCTGAGAGATAAGAAGCTGCACCACTGCCACCAGCCTGTCTGGGCAGCGCACCCGTCTGCACTGTTAAGAGCAGCTAGAGCTGGAACTGGCAACATCCAAAGCTCTTCAAAGAGATCCAAGCTACCCAAATGGTCTCTAGAATCAGTCTGAAAAAGCTCCCTCAGCTTCTGCTGGGAGGGTTCCTCTAACTCTGCACATGGGCATCTCAAACTGCCCCCTTATGACTTCAGAAAGTGGGCAGTACCTTCAAAAGGCATTAGGGAGGGCAAAACAGATTTGTAGCAAAGTTGTTTTCAAGAGAATGAAGAATCAGTAGAGCTCTTACCACCAACTAAGAAATCAATGAAGACTGAAAAATCAAAATCCTTGAACAAAACCAATAAGGATCTTAGGTTAAAAAAATATTAATACACATTGATTATGACTTCACAAGTGGCTTCTTACTTTCCTTCACATATCACATTGATTGTGAATGAGGAAGTTTGTCTTTCCCCTTTCAATTAAAGCTACCAAGTTCTTTTAAGACAGTAAGCATGATTTTGCAACATAAATTGTCTGAATATTCAAAGCTATGAGTATCATTTTAAAGTTGCACCTATCTAACTTACCTTCTGAATAACCACATGCCTGAGTCAATGCATGACAGTGTGCCAGCATGGAAGCATGAGATACAGTAATGCCCACTGTGCTGCCCTCTTTACTTGTTTTGTACTGAAAAGAGAAAGTTTATACAAGCATTAGATTAACAAAGGATGTTCTATTATAAAAATGAACCAAACTTAAAAAAAAACATAGAAGCTACCATAAGAGATGCACTTCTGTCCAGAGAATACACTAATATGATATGAAATCTGACTGTTTCTCTACCCCAATTAAACAAGTTGTCCCAGGGATCCCAAAATGCCAATTATCCCCAATCTTCAATCTGACTTGGCACAACCATTCAAATGACAGTTTGCCTGGCAACCTTGAGGGAAACACTCTTGGTTCCACAGTTAAAAGTACTATAGTAATCTCTTTTATTGCTTTGAGAGATTAAAGGAAGACAACATGCTGTGACATTAACTAAACAGAGTAACCGTAAATTAGGGATGTTATGCTGGATTACCTCAATATAAGCAATCTCAGCACTGGCATCCCGTACTTGTGGATGCCAGTCCTTAGTTGGTTTTGCCAGATGCTTCCCATCAATCACAAACCAAATGAGACGAGGCCAGCCTTCAGAAAAAACCAAAAGTTACTGTCATTGCAGTTCCAAAAACCAGATTTCCCCCCCCACCTCCCCAGTATTCAGAGATAACAACAGGAGGCAAGCAAAAGCTGCACCATTATCACCCCAACAGGAAGAAGCAGCACTAAGTACTCACTACGTACTGTCTTGATAATAAAGGCAGTTCTTCATATGTAAAGCTAGAAGCATGCAAACAAACTCAAAGATTGTTTTTTAATAGCTCTTTATCTTATAAAGAAATTTGAGTAGCTTAAAAACATACCTTTGAATGTAACCACCTCGCCAGTCTGAGCTTTGGGAAGGCCTTTTTGACAGGCATCAGTGGTTAAAGCTAGTGTTACCCCGCAGCTGCCTAAAAGAAATCCAATCTGCTGGCTCCCAGCATCCTATAGAGAAACCATGTTATAGCAAACTTACAAATAATGAAGCTTTTGTACAGTTTACTGTAACTTTGCCATGTTTAGAAAACATTGAGCCAATTTATATCATAGGAAAAACCAAACTTTTAGGCCATAAGACCTTTTATGGAAGACAAAAGACTGAAGGCTATGCTCAAAAGTCTTAGTCTTGCTTAGTGCCAAATAAGTTAGATTTGGCAATAGATCTGGCAAGCAATGGTAGCAAAGTAGTATCAAAAGCAGTGGTTGTGCATGCCTCTCCAACCCAACAGGGACGTTTCCAAGTTCTGGTAAAAGAGAAAGCTGGTTTGATGGTCTGAGTCGTGAGGCACTGAAGAGCAGAGCCTATACCTTTTCAGGTCCACCTGTCTAGAAGAGGCATGGGAATCTCTGGCAGCAGACTGGCCAGCTCGGTGAGTTGGGCTTTAAACTGAAGGACTCAGGGGGCAGGGTCCAAAGTGGCAACGCTTGTGCCATTGCAACCAACTGGGGAATAAGCCAGGCCAACCAAAGCAGTGACAAATGTTCCTTAGATGCCTCCCAAGATGAGAGCCAGAAGACCAACCACCTCTAGTGTATGTACACCAATGCAGGCAGCCTGGGGAACAAAGAGGAGCTCCATACCCAGTCAGAAAATTATGATATTATAGGAATAACTGCAACATGGTGGGACAACTCACGTGGCTGGAGGATCATGACGGATCGCTACAGGTTGTTTTGAAAAGACAGGCAGGGAAGAAGAGGAGGAGTTTTGCTCTGTGTTAAGGGGAACCCTGAATGCATTGAAGTCAGCTACAGCAACTAATGCCTCTGGGTCAAGGCCAGAGGGGTCATCTCCAAGGGGGATCTTACAGTAGGCATCTGCTACCGACCTCCAAACCAAGACGATAAGGCCAACAAAGCAATATTTGGGTCACTTAAACAAGCTTTGGGTCAACAGAACCTGGTATTTATGGGTGACTTCAACTACCCAGACATTTGTTGGAAAAACACTACAGCAGCTCATGTGTTATCCATCAAGTTCCTGGAATGCAGAGACTGCTTCCTCATACAAATGTTAGATGTGCCAACCAGGAATGAGGCATTGCTGGACTTGCTACTCACAAACCAAGAAAACCTGCTTTGTAATATCTTGGTCAACGATAGCCTTGGCTGCAGTGATCACAATATCGTGGAGTTTGGGATCCTGCTGAGCACACTGAAGGTTAGTACTACGACAAAGGTTTGAGATTTTGGAAGAGCAAACTTCAGCTCGCTCAGAGCTCAGTTGAGAGGCATTCCATGGGAAGCTTTCATAATGGATAAAGGAGTTAGTGCCTGCTGGGAGTTTTTCAAGAACGCTCTCCTGGAAGTCCAGAGAAGGGCCACAAAGTTGAGCAAAGGACTGGGAAGTCTGTCGTGAAGAAAGGCTGAGAGAACCGGGTTTGTTCAGCCATGAGAAAAGGCGGCTTTCCACCATGTTCCAGTATTTAAAAGGTGGCTAGAAAGACGATGGAGACTCCCTTTTTACGAGGATTCACACAGAAAAGATGAGGGGTAATGGGTACAAATTACTCCTGGGGAGATTCCAGATGGACACAAGGAAAATTTTTCACAGTGAGAACAATCAGCCATTAGAATAGCCTGCCCACGGAAGTGGTGGATTCCCCAATATGGACACTTTTAAGATTCAGCTGGACAGGCTGCTGGGCCATCTTGTCAAGAACGTGCTTTTGCCAAGAAAGGTTGTACCAGATGATCCTTGAGGTCCCTTCCAACCTGGTATTCTATGATTTCACACTTTCCCTAAAAGTCTCCATGTGTGAGAGATTATCCCAATATCTCTACCACAACTACAGTGTCTCTACCTGCCTGTGCTCTCATTACTCAGCATGAGACTACATAAGATAGCATTTCTGTGTTTTATTTTAAGAAATACTCTCACACATCTTTTCAAAAATAAGGACTTAAAATAATTTCTACAGTTATGTATTCCAGAATTAAACTTATGAAGCTAATAAAGCCTATTAGCTTCATACTAATTCCCCAATTCCCTAACTAAATTTAAAACACTTTCCAAACATATAACGTACACCGAATAGTTCAGCTGACGCACTACACTCCCTTCAAAAGTGCAAGCTCTGAGGGGTCCTATATAAGGACTATAGGATTTAGACCTCCCCACACTTTATTTATTTACAAAGCCCCAAAAATGTTGTATGTATTTGCCTACCTTTCTTGTCAGTGGAACTTCTATTGGGACAGGAATAAGTTCTGCCAGGAGACATCCATAAAATGCCACCATAAACATAACTGGATCACTATTAGGAAATACAAGAGCTACCTACAAAAATACATTAAAACAACATGAATTTTCTTTGGTCATTTGCAGAGAGAGGTCTGCTTTTTAATTTGTGGGGAAAAAGTCTTCACAGCAATGTTCAGGTTCATATTTAAACTACGAACAGAAACATCAAATGCTGCAATAACTCGTATTACAAGTCCCAGTATTACAAGGTTTTCTTCAGCTAAAGCTGTTCCTCACTGTCTATTTTATCCACAGAGACCAATCCAAACAGAAGCCTACCCGGTCTCCAGGCTTCAGCAGTGGTTCATTCTTAGTGGTTAGTTTGTTTAGCAGGGTATACGCTAACTTCAAGCTTCGACTCCACAGCTTGCCTAAAGAAAAAAAGACAGAAATTTTAAAAATAGACTAAAATGTTATAATTTCATTGGCAAATCTAGTGCCTTATACATGCACTAGGCAAGTCAGTAGTATTAGAATAGGGCCAACAGGCACACGAGAAAGTGATTGGGGAAAAGGGGACAATCCTGTTGTGAATGCAATCCCACCTCACAAACCTACTGAGTTCTTCCAGTGTTTCAGTGCACGTGTGAACAGACACACATAGTCTGGTTGATACAACCTAACTGCATTTCCAAAAGGCACTTCACACGAACCCCTCCTAAGGGCTGTTAGAGAAAGCATAACTGCTTGGGATTAAAAAAAATAAATCCTAAACTGGACAAAAAAATTAACTGAAATTTGAGAAACAAAGGAAAGGAATAAATGCCACAATATCTGGCTCTGTGAAATGCCAGCTCAGTGCCCAGCAGGGACCTACACAGCTCTCAATAATTCAGAACAAAAAGTTGTTCCAAGCTATTAAATATAAAGACAACAATTGAACTATTTATTTCACACAATATAAAAACTTTTAATTTGTACCCTCCAAAAAAAAGAAAAGCTTTGCTAAAAAAAAAAATAATCTGCTTATAAAAAATTGACCAACAGCAAACCCCTTCCACTGTACATGGTAAATCAAAGCAAGACTCTCCCAAAGAAGCATGTCGTGGCAAACAGCATGCTTTTAGAACTCAGCTTTCTAGTACAGGGTCTTTATTTTGGGCTGACATCTACACTCAATCCTCTGAGACCATGCAGCAACTGTCAGTTATTTTGTGTTTGTCAGTCTCAAACTTCTTCAATTCAACAGTTTGGTTTTTTTTCCTGTGTAATTTCCAATTATATATTAAAAAGTTACACAGGACTCAAGTTCATCAAATCTAAAGAAGTGTCCGTTCAGTGCACTTGGCAGAGAGTCCAAGTGCAATTTAGAGCTTGGCTTCTTGTTAAGTTTTTCTTTTCCTTTTTTTTTACCAAACATGATATTCTAAGCAATTCTCAAAGCTACACTGCAAAGCAATGAAACTAACACAGCTGCTCAGTTACATTTCCTGTAAGCATGCTTCATCTGTAAGAACGCAAACAAGAAATTTTAACATTCTAACATACTATACAACGAAATGCTGCAGTTAACTGTCCTGGGAGACACCATTATGTTCCCAAAAAATGCAATTACTATAATACTTCTAGTTCATTGATACAGGCAAGTTTCACTTCCCACAATAACATCCTTAATATGCTCCTGAAGTACAAGTCTTCTTTATAAGGATATACAAGAACATGCCAAAATTTAATATCTGCTCTGGGAACCTGAAGAGTGCATTATTAGTCATTTGTTTCTTCCTCTTATTTTACAGTGGGCTATTTTTAGTGTTCTTTCAAGCAAAAAAACCCACAATTGTTTGAAATTTATAAATAGCCACTGGTAAAGAATCGGTACGATACACATTTTCCCTTCATTAACTTTTAAAAAATGTTTTTCATGTACAATGAATTAATAATTTACACTCAAACAAAACTCAAAAGCATCTGTCACGAGCACAGTCGGCCCCTCCTAAAGTAAAGCACATTGTTCATCCCACAATGAACGCCTAATTCTTCCTTACAGTTGTCACCAATACCTACCGTACGTAAGTGTATAAATAGCTTTCCCAGTTGTATCCAATGCCGTGAGACAAGGAGCTTTCGGCTGGGTAGTTCCCCAGCGCTGCAGGGCAGCCAGCAGAGAAGGGGGCCAGTTGGTTACCACACCTAAAGGTTCACCTTTAAGTACATTCACTTGATTTCCTTCCGGCTTTGGTTGATTTGGGTCAGGCTGTTGCACTAAAACCAGAGCACAGTAAAATGGCAAATGTCAATCCCTACAAAATGTGCCAGTTACACTTAATAAACTATTCTACGAACCATTCTCACCTTCCTCTTCCTCACAGCTATCATTACTTTTCCTCTGCTTTACAGTGATGCTATGCTAATCATCTGTTGGCTTCACAAAAAAATAATTGTGATTGTCACAAAAAATAATTACCATCACTTTGGAGTTCTGATTCCACATTATTCAGAAGACCTGGCCACAGGAACAGAATTTGAATCCCTAGTTCACTCTTTTAGTCTATTTTGGAAAGATGGTATTTTCTACTGTTTGTTCTGCACACCTATTTAATTGAAAGCTTATACCAAGTCAAGAAGCGTTATCAGAGAATGGCTTCAGTGACAATTGGACATTTATTTTCAGTGCACCAAATTCTCAACTGATGATGAAGAATGATACTATGTTTCCATAAAAATATGTATTAAAAAAAAGCCAGATGAGATGTTCCTGGTATGGACTATCTACAACTAAAACCGTATCACTCACAGAATATTTTGTTTGATTTCTGGATCATCTCTCTCAGCTATGTAACACTGGAGGGTTCGTATTAAATTTGCTCTCTGAGCAGCCAGATGTTAAATCCTTCCCCAAGCTGCTCAAAAAGGGGAAGTATCTGAATCTCAGTTAGCAAAACAAAGTCATAGTTGGATGTAGCTAACAGTCAATCTATGCAATAACTAAAATTAACAGTTCAAAGTGATGGTCTCTGTTCTCCACAATGACGTACATGCCCCTCAACACAATTTTATCTGAAAAACCTTCATCAAAAGACTGTAACTGGAATCACCTCATATCCTAAAACATCAAACAAACAGTACAGGTAATCTAGTAGCAGCCACCCAAAAGTGTCACATTTAGAAAAAAAATTTAATTTAATCTTTAAGACTAAGAGAACAGAGTTTCTCCAAAATTAGCAGATGCAGCTGGTTTTAAAGGCAGCCACATATCGCTAAGCAACTTCTACATTTGTTAGAGATGCTTTTCTTTCCACCTGGACACATGCATGCAGGGAAGAAAATAGTGGGTTTTAGCTGAGCAATATCTGCAGAGCATGTACAAGCACTATCCTTTCAAGTAGCACACAGACAGTACATTGTACAGTGCACTCAATGTGTTTAATTCCTCTGAACCTCTAAAATAACTAGTGTTTCTGGATTTCAAGAAGAGGATATTAACATGCATGCAAACAATATTATCATAATAAATTCCAGTTACTAGCAAGTAACTTTTTTTCCTCTAACTAGATTTGGGCACTGACCAGCTACAAAGCAACCTTTCAGAGCAGAATGTAGGGGTGCTTGTAGAGAAGTAGCTGAATGTGAGCGGCCAGAGAAGCCAGGGAATCACCATGTTTGGAGATGCTCAGAACTGGACTGGACAAAGCCCTGAGCAGCCTGATCTAGTCAGACCTGCTTTGAACAGGATGTTGGTCAGAAGTTTCCAGAGGTTCACGACACCATCAGTTACTCTTAGGCTATGCCCTGACTTACTCCAAAGAGTACCCTCTATAAATTCACTGATGACCACAGGGCAGAGTTTAGAATTTCTGAGGCCAGAAGCGACAGTGGGACAACCACCAAACATAACTATTTCTGCATGCACCAATGAAGTTCTTGACAAAGATGTGAATAGAATTTCTCCAAATATCTGTAAATCAGTGTCTTTAGTATTCACTAGCTCATCACATTTGTCCAAATTGGGCTGAATCAGAAGAGTTTCCAAAGCGAGGGAGGAGGACAGAGAACAAGTACACTGAGTAGGAGGACTGAATGAGGGTTATGTTTCACTTATGATAGCATACGACCTTTCTCTCTCCAATATAACAACTCCACCATGATTTGTTTTCTATTGGGAAGAGAAAAATAAAACACTTGCTAAGACATACCAGTTCTTTTGCGAACTGCTTACACAAAGAGTGAAAAATGTATTGGAAAGAAAATTAACCTTCTAGCAGTTCTTCAAAATCATCAACAAAAAACTCTTTCAAAGGTGGGCGCTTTGGTCTTTTCAAGGTATTCAGAAGCTGCTGGATTTTAGAGGACACTCTGCTATTCACTGGGACACCTGCCAAACAGAAAAGATTTGTTACTTACCATACATTAATAAACATACACTAAAACACATGCTGCCACCCTGTTGACAACATCACTGTAAGGTCAGCGCAGCTTTCAGGTGGAAGAGTCATTCAAGATGAGCAGCTTGTTTGGAAAAAAACAGCTTTAATCAGTAACAGTTTCAACCATGGATCTGTTTTAAACCAATGCTGCTCCTTAGCTACCTGGCTGATGCATAGACCTTCTCACACTTTAATTTCCCTTTTCAAACTACTCCTTTACGAGATTCCAATACAAACCTGAAGAATATTCTTTTCTTGGAGACTCTACGTATTTGCTACATTTTAACATTCATTCCATTCTGAAAGTGTGAGAATGCTTGGAAAAACGAAGTGAATCTTTCAATATTTTACAGGGCTAGCAAAAAATAATCACAAAACCATGTCGAATGCTGATTTTCATTTGTATATATATATATTTAAAATTAA